TATCTCGTTTGCGTGCATGGGGTTCCGAACGAGATCGGAGCACCCCATCGGAATTTTAAGTTTTGGAAATGTTGCAGATTTTCTGCAATAAATTGCAGAAAATCAGCAACATTTCCCAAATTTCAAACCCTCATAATTCTCTCATCTCTCAACCGATTTGGGCGATTCAAAAGGCAAAGTTGTGAGATTTTTCGAGGACAACGTGTTGGTGAGCTCGGATAGTGATTTGGAGTCCCTGTTTGAGGTAATTTTCGTAAAATACCTGTTGTCTCACCCTTTTTGTGAGCTTAATTTTGGAAAATTTTGAGACTTGTTTTCTTAGCCATTTTAGATCCGATTTTGGTGATTTTTGAGGCTATCTTGAGTGGTTTTTCGAGGAGAACATTGTGGTGTTGTCAGATTTTACTGTAGACCGCTCGTTTTTGGTAAATTCACTGCTGTCCCATTTCTAATTTTTGAGAAAATTTGGGTTTTAGTTGCATGTTGATATTGTGTTGTTCCCGAGCCCCGAATTGTGTCCCATTTTGGGACATGAGCTGGGAAAACTGGTTAGGACCCACTTTTGGGGTTAATTTCAGAATTTCCTGCGCGGGTCCCACTTTCCCCGTTTTGACTCCAAAATTGACCCGTCTCCGTTTGTTGTGATTTTAGTGTCTAAACGACCGTATTAACGTTGTGACTCTATTTTTGATAGCGGGGCAGCGTTTTGAGACCGTTCGGAAAGGGAAAGCTCCGAAGGAGTGATTTTGGAGCGCGTGTGATCGGCCTACAGGTAGGCTACGGTTTCCCTCTCTTAGATTGAGCTTGAGAGTGTGAATGCATGTTGATTAGTTGGGATTTGGGTTGGTAGTTATTGAATCACGTTTAGGTGTTTAAAAATTATGTTTTCGGCCTATTTCGAGAATTATCGGGTAACTGTGAGCATGTTTTGTGTTATTAACGGACCATCCTCGCTATGTGGAGTGTTTGCATGCTTAATTATTGTTTATTTGAAGCATGTTGGGCCTTAGTTTAGGTTTGACTAGGGCTTGCCTTAGAAATACATTATTCGAATCCAATAGGCCTTAGTTTTGCCCTGACGTCGCTCGGCCGACTTAGATCCATGTAGACTGGTGTAGCAGACTTGAGTCTGATAGTTTGGGCCTTAGTTAGGCGATACTCTTTCTCCGACTTTAGTTATCCTTATTTCCCCGATGTTACGGCTTCACGAGTTACATCGGCGACACTAGTTCTACTTCGATTTGGTTCCAAGGACTTACATTGATTGGCTAAGTATGGATGGCGTTCCACGGACATTTGTGAGTGTGGATCGATTAGGACTCTTTCAGCAGCTACATTGGCACCTTTATAGAGCATCCAGTTTAAGGTCCGGCCTCTATTGCCCAAATACTTATATAAAGCATCCGGTTAGAGTTCCGGCCTCTATTGCTCAGATACTTATATAGAGCATCCGGTTAGAGTTCCGACCTCATATACTTGATACTTGTGATTGGTTACTTGGGTACTTCTGCTGAGCATCCGGTTCGAGGTCCGGCCTCCGTATTGTCAGATTTTACTAATTAGGGTTGAGGTTCTGATTCGTGTTCTTCGTTCTTGGGTTCTTTTATGCAATTCTCTTTAGTTATAGTTATTTTGTGTACTCGTCGGGCTTATGGGAGTCTGTTCGGGTTTTTATTTAACTTGCGCACGAATGTACCTTCTGGGCTTATGGGGGCCCAGTTAGGTGTAGTTAGCTTATAGATTATTTTAGTTAGTTCTTTGTACACTCGTGTGCATTCCCTTGTTAGTTAGATTTTAGTTCTTGACTTCGTTTGTGTTATTCCTTCTTTTCATATTGCCTTTACTTTTCAAGTTCAGTCGGCATATGATACCTACTGGGTACCGGTTGTTTTGGTACTCATGCTACGCTCTGCATCTGTTTCGTGATGCAGGTCCGGGCACTAGTAGCCAGCGTTGATCGAGCTTGGAGCAGTCTGATCCGGAGACGGGGTGAGCACACGGCGTTTTGTACTATTTCAGTCTCCATCTGTATATATATACTTGTCTTTTTCCTTTCGAGACAGTCCAGTCTCTGTTGTCCACTTTTGGGACTTGTACTCATTTTGTTAGTAGCTCTGTACTAGTGACTTCCAGGTTTTGGGAGGGATCTTTATTTATATATATGTTTTTGGTTTGCTTCCGCCTGTTTATATTGTTATTTGCCTACTCTTGTTTAGTTTCTACCCTCAAACCCATTACTTGTTGTTCCGGGTTACGAGTTGGCTTACCTACTGGTGGGTTATAGTAGGTGTCATCATGACTTGAGAAATCGGGTCGTGACATAAATACTCTTGGATTTACAAAGAAAATTGTACTTATTTCTACTTATGTAAATTGTGCAAAGCATAGTCGTCCAAATTATGATAAATCATCTGAAAAAAATTCGAAGGATTGATACAACTCATTCCAACTAATTTAGGACCAAGACTTAGTTGATTGACAAATATATCAATGTTGGACAACATGCCTCCATTGGACCATTATCAGAATTTTGACCATTTTCACCAGCCATATAAACCATGAGTAAATCAAGAAAGAAGATGAAGGGAGCAATCTGGCTGTACAAGATCATTCATTATCTAATTGGAATTTCACCAGACACTGTTACACGGTTTCCAATTTTCAGGTATCCCACCAACAGTTCCGTGGTACTGGAACATAAAATAGAATAAAATTCCAAAAAGTGTCATCATCTTTTGCCTCAAACATAAAGATGAAGTAGAGGAATAATCGAGAAATAATCGCAATAATGAACCAAGATGCCAGAGAGAGATATCAGGAAAAACATTTGGACATTTTGTTACATATAGAGAAGCTCTTCAACTTCAACCTGTCAACTAATTTAACCGAATCTGGGAATACGACCACAAATAAAGTACCAGATGCAATCTTAGTTAACATTACAATAAAGTAAATCTCATCTCCAGTTATGCATACGACTGAGTTAGGATGTTTGATGGCAGCACTTCCTGAACCCCAAAGAAAAACAAGATATCACAAACTTAAAGTGATTGACACTATGGAGATCTCGTCTTGAGATGCTTAATGCTCTCTTATCACTGAGCATGAGTAGGTCGCATGCACCTTGACTATTCCATTAGATACCTGTATCCTTTCAGTACTGTTGGTACAGGATAACTCTACAACCAGGGTTTAGGCAGAAGGAAGAAATCACCCAACTATTTTGCCTCTATTTGAGATTTGAACCTTGGTCTTCCATGGAGTTTACTCCAACTTCATCGACTAGGCCACATCCTCCCTCCAAAGACAATATCTCTACAAAAGGAAGAGAAAAAAATCAGAAGGAATTATAGGTCCTATAAAAAGAAAGGCACCAGTGCTTCAGAACTAAATTGACTCATAAATCACATAGCTTCAGACAAACAAGTAGTCCTGTCATATTTTTCGTAAAATCTACCACAAGCAAAAGGAAATACAAGTGCATTAACAACATTTAGAAGTTCTTAAAACTACAACAGAAACCGAAGGTTAACATAAGCTAAGTGATGTCCATCTCCATGATCAAGAAACTAATAAAATATCGATCTTATCTCTGCAAAATAGAAAAAAATGTCAGAAACCAGCTTTAAAACACATCAAAGAGGTACCAATGTCAACTTCGACAGAGAGAGGTCCCATGTGGCTAGATGACAAAAACAACCACTGGTGTCTCAATTTAGTGTGAAATAAAGGAGCTAAGGACATAGGGAACTTAAGCTTGCATCAGAAATTCACTTCTCTCCAAACGTTGAATTTCGGCGAGTGAAGCTAGTCTCCAAAAAACTTTTTTGTACAACTAATTCAACTTAAAACCAGAGAATGTCCAGTCCATCTTTTGCTTAATATGCAAATGTTTAAGAACACATAGATGCACAGAAACTAAAAGAAGGCAATATAAAAGACACAAGTCTTATCAAGTTCCAAGTTTTGTGTACAACGAGCAAGGATTCATAATAAGCATACTCTTCTGCTGGTTCCTATACATATTTTCAAACCAGCTATGCATATTCTGTATTTACCCCCATCTCCAAGTGTTGCCCCTTATCCACCTTTATCCACAAGATTCAAAATCTTGTTCCATTATCTTGATCTTATGATTAGATAAGTTACTACTACTCAAACATTTAGAGAAAATATGGCGACTTTTGCAGCATATTTCTGCTATATCTTGAGTAGCTGCTTAAAACATCCAGCATCACCTACACCCCCAGCCACCAACCAGCCAATGGTGGTGAGAGAGACAGGTACTTCTGGAACTAACTTGTTTACAACCTCACAACTCACAAGCACTTATAAGTGCATCTAATTAACAACAGAACTAAAAACTACAAATACAGTGAGGGGATAGGATACGGAAGGTACGTAACACATTCCAAGCTTAATGGAAAGTCAAACAGACACGTACAGTCCAAAAGTAAAAAATTAAGCTTTTTAGCCAGTTAGGTGCAAATACGCATTCTTTTTTTTTTTTTTTTTTTTTGAGAAAGTTAACTGAATGCAAATACGCATTCTTATAAAGCATTTCGTAAAGATTACACCTATGATGATGAAATTTGTACAAAATAGAGGAGCAAAATAAGTATAACACAACTATCCACAATAAGCACAGAAAAATTAACAAAGGTATGTAGAGTATTATGCAAGAACTATATGACTATCGGTAAAAATTACTGAGAATGGGCATTGAAGCAATAAACAATAGTTTATCAAACTGTGAGCTGATAATCTCCACAATATAACAAAGGAAATCTGCACAAACTTAACTGATAATTAAAGAAAACAAAGCCTAGGAACACAAATTGACACTACCAACTTGAGTGAAACTTGTAATTCGGAAGTGCAATCACAATCATTCATGCAAATGCTGTAAAATTGCCCATTTTTCAGTTTATTTTAGTTTTCTCCTACAAGAAAGAAAGTAGCACAAGTCATAACACCAAATAGCATTAGCCATAGATAGTAGTCATTAGCCAAATAATTTACCTTAAACACTCTATTCAATCCAATTTGAGATTATACTATCCAACAAAGCAACCACTTCATCATTTCCCTTGTCCCCATTCTCAACACACTTCAAAGCTTCATTCAGTTCTTGAGCCTCCTTAATCCTGGCCTCCCTCAGAAGACTTCTATACACCCACATCCTAACCTTACCCCCAAACTTCAAATTCCCAACTACCATCATCCTCAAAACCTTTAAACCCTCCACAACCATATCATTCTTGCAAAATCCATTCACCAAAATAGCACACAATCCGTAATCCACTGGACAAGGAAAATCACGCCTTGACACCCAATGAAAAATCTTTAACCCTTTAGTAGCCTCCCTGTTCCTAAAATACAAAGAAACTAACATTTTACAAATGGGTAATAGAAAAGATTGAGTCTTTGGGGTGTACTTGAGGCGATTGAGGAAGTACATGGGCTGTGTAAGGTCAGGTTCAAGGGAGAGTCTGTGAATGAAAATGGAAACAGAGATTGATTCTAAAGATGGGTTTGTGAGAAATGCTGTTGTGATGAGATTAGCAACTTCTTTGAGGTGATTTGAAGAGCACAAACGTGGGATTAGTAGATTGATTTGTGTAAGCTCTTCTTGGGTCAGAGAAGTGGCTGCAATTGTGCTTGTTGTGGGTTCTATTAGGGCATGAGGAAAAGAAGAAGATGATGTGAAAGGCAAAGAATTAGGAGTGAAACGTGAGATAAGATATGGTGAAGAAAGGAAACGCAGTCTTAAAATTGATCTCATGGTTATGAAGCAGCCATTAATGGTGTGATTGGTCATATAAATAGTTTCTAGTATTAGATTATTTTGATGAAAATTTTGACTATCAAGTGTGGGCAAGTCCTAAGCACTCTCTAACAAAACAACTCAATTCCGTACTAAGAAATTCAAATTAAATTTTTTTAATTAAGGATGAAAAAATATTTATTACTCCATCATAATCTTTATTAGTGAAAAATTTAAATATTAAAAATAAAATAATAATATTATCTAAATGACTCCCTCCTTTTTAATTTTTTATTAATATAATTTTGACTTTACTCGAATTTAAGAAAATATAATTAGTAATTAAATATTATAAAAGAATACTTTAAAATATTGTGAGCGTAAATATATCATATGAAAATTTAATATTAAAAATTAACAAAAAAAACAAATATTTTTAATAGTATTAATAAAATAATCTTTTAACATAATTTAAAGCGTAATCTTTCAATAATTTGTTAATAATATCTTTCTTATAGGCTATAGCTAAGAATTTACTTGTGCACAATATGAATTGAATATATAAAAAATTAATGTGTAAATATATTTCAAAGTTTGATTAATATTAATATTACTCTTACGATATCTTTTTATTCTATTTTTAATGCTCGTTATTTTATTATTCATTTCTAATGTTAATAATGAAATATTTTTAAAACATAATTTAAAATTTATTTAACGTTTATAAATTTAGTTTTTTTAATAATTTGTTAATAATATCTATCTCAAAGTTAAGATTTTATTTTCGCAATATATATATATGTTTTGATTACTATTTTCCACCTTTCTTACTTTAGAAAAATTAATTTTTATATTACATGTAAAAGAGTAATAGATAAATATTGATAATTTCAAGGGTAAAATAAATCTTTTTGAAAAATGAATTGAGATTTATAAGGTAAATTGTCACGACCCAAGCCTAGGGCCTAGACGTGACCGGCGAATGGGGAACCCGAAGGAACCCCAAACAAGCCTCATAGCGTATCATTACACATCCTTGGTCGCGGAAGCAATTAAAATGACCATAAGCAATAAGCATAATCAAGGGGGAAATCGGGACTAAGGGAGCAAGAAAAAAAAAAGGAATGATACATAAATATCATAGATGAGTCAAGCTCAAGCATAATACACAACTTGTCTAACACCACCTCTAAACATGGGTACTTAGCGGGGGCCAAGACAAACTACCGGGCTCACCCTCATAGTCGATACATAACAAAAAAGGAAAAGTCTTATACATAGCAAGAGATCATAAGCAACGTCCCCGGAATGGAGGACTCACCAATAACCTCGATAGAAAATCGTATTAGCCACGCGGAAGAGGATGGTCAAGCGGTGCTCCGGTCCCTACATGGTGACATCATGTAGGCATAGAGTATGCATTAGTACGTTTGAATGTACTAAGTATATGGGATGCAATGCAATGCACAATAGATGGACATCATAGGCAAAATGCATAATCATACCCGATAGATAGCATATTAATGAGATGATATGTATAATGATGCTTACATAAAAATCATATTTAGTGGGGCGTAGTATATGTGTGGCGAGTGATCATCAATATAGTATTTCCAAGGCCTACCACCCCCTTGGAGAAGCGAAAGAGGTACAAACCCCTCAATGTGGTTACCCGGGCCTACCACCCCCCGAGCTAGGGACCAAGGTACAAACCCCTCGATATGGTTATACGGGCCTACTACCCTCCGTACTAGGCAACCAAGGTACCAACCCCTCGATACGGTTACCCGGGCCTACAACCCCCCGAGCTAGGCTTGGTCGACTCACAACACTTATATGAAGAAAATCATATACATGTGTCCATTTCATCATCATTTCAGTAATTATATAACCATTCGACTCATAGGACGTAAATTGGACCTTCCATTTTCTAAGAATTTTATAAATGAGCATTTTATCAAACACATGGTGGGCTACTGTTCATGTAAATAAAATCATGTATTTCAAGAGTACTAAGTCCAACCAATTCCAAAATCCATATAAATCAGCCCACCAACAACATATATATATCAACCTTCATAATTTGATCGTGGAAGCATGAAAACCATAAACATCACATAATAATTTCATTTCATGATAATATACAAAATAGACCATAATATGGTGTGTAGTAGTAATTTCATACTTCAACAGTTTATAAATAACCATAAGGACCCATAAACTTGAAGTAGAAATAGAGGATAAATGGTTGGACTTGTGGAAAGGAAGGTTTCCACAATCAAACCCACATACCTCAACTTTGGAGAATCCTTGATGAAGATTGGAATGGAGAATTGAAGCTTGAGATTGAGTCTTGAATCCGGAATTAGAGCTTGAGATCTTTGAATTTGGTTGAGGATCTTGGTGGAATTTTGGAGAGGGCTTAGAAAGTGTTTTTGAAGTTAAAAAAAAATGACTAAGTATGGGACATATCCCCTTTTTATAAAAAAAAAACGTCCCCAACCCACCTAAAAAAAATAGCTCACTGGAAATTGCAAATCTGCATAGACAAGTTTTACGAAAATGGTCATAACTCCCTCATCCTAACTCGGAATGAGGTGAAACCAAGTGCGTTGGAAAGCTAACTCAAAGAGCTTTAATTTAATAGGTTGTGGCTCTTCCAGTTCCTTGTGTGCTAAGAGATATTCCCCTTTAAAGTTGACCCTCCAAATCGCATTTTTTGCGATTTTCGAATTTTGATACGGTTGCTCTAAAATTCGGGTTAGACCCATTTCCCACTCAATTTGACCCCATGAATAAGAATATGAAGTCGAATTTCCGAAATCATGCACATATTTGAGATATATGGAAATTACAATTATAGGTGTTTCTGAAGCACATTTTCGGGCATTTTTTTAATTTTTTTTTTGGGTTGTTTCAATATCTACCCCTTGGAAACATTCGTCCCCGAATGTTAAAGAAACGTACATGAGAGACACAAACATGACAATTTCAGCCCACATAAAGATGCAACAATGCACTTACACATTATTTCAAAAACCTCAACATAGTTGTAAAACCACAATGAACTTGTCAACTTAAACATTAATGTATGTAATGACATGGGGGCTGAACTTAAGACCTGAGATTTTATGAAGGGCTTAGATCAATACCTTAGGCTTGAGTGGAGTGGAAAAAATAAGGATATCGCCTTTGCATGTCAGCTTCGGCCTCCCAAGTAGCACTTTCAACTTGTTGATTTCTCCAAAGGACTTTAACGGAAGCCACATCTTTGTTTCTCAACCTCTTCACTTGTCTATCTAAAATCTGGATCGAAACCTCTTCATAGGTCAAATTATCTTCAACAACACCCACAACATCAAGAGACACAATGGCATTCAGATCACCCACACACTTCCTCAACATAGACACATGAAATACCGGATGAACCAAATCCATTTCGCTAGGCAATTCCAACTCATAAGCTACCTTGCCAATTCTCCTCATCACCTTATAAGGACCCACGTATCTTGGGCTCAACTTGCCCTTCTTACCAAAACGAACCACACCCTTCATGGGTGACACCTTCAAATAGACCCAATCACCAACTCGAAATTCAAGAGCCCTTCTCCTCACATCGGCATAGGACTTTTGGCGACTTTGGGCCATCTTCAACCTTTCTCTAATCATCCTAACCTTCTCAAGAGCCTCCATAACTAGATCTGGTCCTAACAAGGCCACCTCACCACGCCTCCCATAGAGAGCCTCAAAAGGAGCCATACCGATGCTATAATGATAGCTACTGTTATAGGCAAACTCAATCAATGGAAGATAATCATCCCAACTACCCTTAAACTCCAATACACAAGCCCTAAGCATATCCTTAAGTGTTTAGATAGTCCTTTCGGCTTGTCCATCCGTTTGCGGGTGAAAGGCCGTAGTAAGCTTAACTCTCGTACCTAGACCCTTTTGAAAGGACTTCCAAAAGTGTGAAGTAAATTGAGTACCACAGTCCAATATGATGGATAGAGGAATCCCATGCAACCTTACCAAGTCATGAATATATAACCTTGCATAATCTTCCGCCCCATATGTTGTCTTTACCGGTAGAAAATGAGCCGATTTTGTCATTCTATCAACCACCACCCAAATAGAATCAAAACATTTTCTAGTCTTGGGTAAACCAACTACAAAATCCATATTAATTTCTTCCCACTTCTAAGTAGGAATCTCTATGTCTTGGGTTAGACCACCCGGCCTTTGATGTTCGGCCTTGACTTGTTGACAACTATGACAACCGGAGACGAATTTGACAATGTCCTTCTTCATGCCTCCCTACCAATACACATCCCTCAAATCTCTATATATTTTGGTGGAACCGGGGTGAATGGAGTAGGAAGAATTATGAGCCTCCTCAAGAATTTTCTCCCTCAAACCATCAACACAAGGCACACACAACCTACCTTGGTACCTAAGGGCACCATCTCCCCCTTGGGAGAAAACTTCCACCTTGCCCTCTTTCACCAAGGCCTTCAATTCTAAAAAGGAAGAGTCAAGATCTTGTTTTGCTATCGCCTCATCAACCAAGGAAGATCTAGCACCATCAACAACGACCACACCACCATTACCAACCTCTTCCAACCTAACCCCCAACCTAGCCAACCAATGCACCTCCCTAGCCATTTCCCTATCACTAATATCAACATGAGCTAGGCTACCCATAGACACCCTACTCAAAGCATCCGCCACCACATTAGCTTTACCGGGATGATAATGCACACTCATATCATAATCTTTAAGAAATTCTAGCCATCTTCTTTGTCTCAAGTTGAGATCTTTTTGGGTAAAGACATATTGGAGGCTCTTATGATCGGTGAACACATCAACATGTACCTCATACAAGTAATGACGCCAAATCTTTAAAGCAAACACCACCGTGGCTAATTCAAGATCATGCGTAGGATAGTTCTTTTCATGCACTTTGAGTTGTCTAGAAGTATAGGCTATCACCTTACCATTTTGCATTAGGACACAACCCA